CCTGGCACAAGCGCCATGGTGATGTCACCGGCACATCGTGGAATACGGCGATTTTTGTGTGTATGCAGTCTCAAATAATTACCTGGTGTGGTGTGGTGCTAGCCACCCTCCCCTTCGAGTGCCGTGCCGGCCTTCGTAGGAACGAGCTAACAGCAACATACCCCAAAGGTATGTCAAGGCTATATGGGGGATTGTTTTGTGTTTGCATGCACATGTGGCCAGCAGACTTCCACATTGTTACAGTATTTAGCTCCTGAACATATTACCACAGGCAACAATAGAATAGCCTAAATAAGTAGCTGGTGCAGTGTGTAAACATCGGCGCAAGGGAGACAAATGGGGCCGTGCATGGTGCTGGCCACCCACCCCCTCGTGTGCTGTGCTGCCATTAATATGTCCTCAATAACTTGACCCACAACATGCCTTTTGGGAAATTTTGCCTCTGTATGAGGAAATAGTTCCGGGCGAATAAACACAAACCCACGCCAGGAACTCATGTAAGGCTGAGTTGACCAAGAGGAGGCCTATAACTGATTCTGACATTACTCACCGCCGGGTCGAACTCTGGTTACCCGTGGTTTTATAACACAGTGCGCTAACCACTATGCCACCGTCCCCCACGCTGCAGACACACACACGTGTGATCCCGTCTCTAGCCTTGTCCCAATTTTGGGGGAAAGTTTCTGATGTCTGCCGTTACCAGTAATGAGGAAGATCGCGTCGTGAATCCGACCATACTCGTTTGTCGCGCCCTTACCAAAAAATTACAATAAAAAGTCCCAGACTATTTGTATCAGTCTCGGCACGTACCCAGACTGAGTTGAAACCACAATATCCATGGCGTGGAGTTATGTCTTCGTGTTGTTTTAAACTTAGCTTAAATAGTTGGTGGATGTATTATATACACACAATGGAAAGGGGGTTTTGCAGTCCCTTTTTTTAACAGAAGAATGTCACATTCTCTACGTAGGGTATATTAATATATTTTGTGTGTTTATAGCCCATAGAAAGTGAGCATTCAGAGAACTTACTCCACAAGTCTACATAAAAGGCACGATTTGGGGGATTTTACAGGCGAAATCTATCAGATCATCGAGATAGGGTGACGCCTATCGCTATTTTTATTGCTTTCTATTTAAGCTAAGTTTAAAACAACACGAAGACATAACTCCACGCCATGGATATTGTGGTTTCATCAGCAGCAGTCATGGTCAATCCACTGCTGGATGAAGGCCTACTCAAGACGTAGGCGAACATGGCGATCATGCGATGCAATGATTAATTCACTTATTGGGGTAAATGTACTGTACAAAACATCACCCTGGTTATTTAGAGACGCTGTCATTTTTCGTTGGTAGCACATCCCTGTGATTGCGTGCTTTGGAGGCAAGGGTTGGTGGATCACGTGGACGGTGGTGCTGGTCCTAGCAAATCGGGGGCCCGAAGCAGGAATTAATTATGCAGACCCCTCTTTTAAATATATAATGTACTAGCGAGAGGACGTAAAATGTATAGTAGATATCGTTTATAAATAAGGTAAAATAAATGTAGACGTATCAACGCGGTGAGATAAGTCAGATACAGGCAAAAGATAGAAATTACAGAGAGTAAATGGATTTTTAATTAAATTTGAGCTCACATTTGCTGTCCCCTAATTTTTTTCTATGAGTCCTCGGCCTCGTGAGCTGCTTGAGGTTCTTAGCGTTTGCTTGGGGTGCCGATGCGCATAGCTGTGCCACGTTCCTCGATCAGTCTCAAGACTGCTCTTCCGGTGAGTCAGGTATTGGGGAGTGTTTGGCCAAGACAATTTCCAAGCACATGAAGCCAAACTACTCTGGTGTAAGAGGAGGGTGTTGGTCTTGAGGCGGGCTGGTCTTTGTCATAATAGACTCTCTCGATCCAACCACCAGTGCTTAATTCAAGTCGGAATAGTCCGCACCTCTGTTCCGGGAATTATGTTTCTGACATGCCACAGCAATCTCGCCCTATTTTAATTCCCATGGTAGGTATTGTGGCGATGTGTGCAGTGGGGATGCAAACACGTGCTTAGGGGCCGTCTATAAATGACGTCACGCGATTTTGGACGATTTTTGATCCCCCCGCCCCCTCGTCACACGACGTCACAAAACGTCAGACCCCCCCCCCCTCAAATATGACGTCACAAAGCTCTGCCCCCCCAAAACCATATTCCATTTTGAAAATAAAACATGCTTCAAATCACTTTAAACTATCGTCATTGTAGTGGGTATTTAATGTGGCCCTGCACTCTGATGTTGTAGGCGAAAACATGTATTAAAAAGGCGTTGGAAAGCTGAAATGTTGCATGAAATTCACTTTAAAATATTCGTCGTCTAACTAAAACTGCAAATGTTCAGAATATTATATTGAAATGATCTTATTTATTACATATGAAAAGTAATCATAACTATAAAAAATACTTGAAACTTTATAGTAGAATGAAGCAAAATTGAAAGTACAATTATAAGAATCACATATTCATTCCACAGAATGAAAAGCCCTGGTAGAATCATTAGAATCCAAATGTTGAATAACTAAATTTATGCTTCTCCATTCTCCGATGGAGAAGCATTTGACTGTAATTTACGCAAAGAAATAAAATCAATGATAGACACAAACAGAAAAAAATCGACCAAATAACACATGAGGAAGCATACATAGGTTTTTTGTGTAGCGATTAAAATAAAGACAATTCGTTATCGTCAGCTTTGGTCAATCCACTGCTGGATTACATCGTCCCTAAACCGCCACCATCTCTCACACCCTGCGATGATTATAATGATCCATGCAGCACCTGCGCGCGACCTGATCTTATTGCTCAATGTCCTCATTAGGCGTTCTCGCTAACGCGCTCCGTTCCTTGGCTGCCACTCTGCCATTTCTCTTGACCATCGGCCATCATTACTTGAAGCAACGCGTTCTGTCCAAATCCAGATTTACGTTTCTCAACAGCTGTTACGATGCCGGTAACCTGCGTATGTTCTCTAATCCACGTCTTCCTCTTTCTGTATCATTGTAATTCCAATCACGCACTTCTCCTTGTTTCTTTGTGTACTTTTCAGTGTTTGTTCCAACAATGCGAGAGTTGATTGCCACTCAGCACGGATGTTTGCCCACGATGGGACTTAGACCTGTTAGCGTGACTGTTGTTGTTTGTAATTTGCTGTATTTTATTTACCAAGCAAAGCCCACTGAGCTACGAGCTCTTTTTCAGAGGCGGCCTGGCCACGCATCGATAGCTCATCGAAGTGGCTTATATCATCGCATTCACCTTTTGGCGTTCTTTGGTCTAACACTTTTGAGACAAAGCCATAAAAGGAGGTTGTCTCTGGTGTAGGCCAATGAGTTTCAAGGAGAATGCGTTAATTATAGAAACATTTGTTTGCATGTTCTACCCCAAGCATGTGTGGTTAATGCAGACTTGATGCCTTGTGACAGAGGTGTATTTGGTGTTTGATGTTTTACATTATGTTGTTTCGTGTTGTTTTAACGTAGTATATTTCCATATTTTAAAATACTGTATACAATATTATCATACTGTATCTCGCACATATTAAAATACACACCATTCTGTAATGTATGTCAAGACTGCACTACATGTGTGGCAGGTACGGTCATGATGACGCAGAATATGCACTTAGTTTGAATAAATATAGCAAAACGGACGATGCTATTATTTTGCGGACCTCATACCAAATGATGTAAAGTAACCCTGTATCGTCATATCGTGGCATCCCTAATTCTCATTAATATTTAATGTAAAAGTGTGGGGAAGACAACGGTGCATTTGCGGTTGGAAGTGTTTCCTTATTTTTAACAGCGTTGCAAGGGGCAACCCCCTGAGTAGGTTTACATATCACAGCAGTTGAAAACAGATCCAATGGAGAGGCCTACATTGTCACAGCATGTCAATTCAGATTCAATGAATGGACAGGTCTACATGGTCACGGCAGACTAAGTCAAATCTAATAGGCAGGTCTACGTGGTCAAAGAAGATCAAATCAGATTTAATAGATCCAATTGGAGGGGTTTTTAGTGCACATTTTGTTCCGGAATCTGCAATTTTGACCACAGCCAGGGAGAAATTAGGCGTTAGATGTAATAAAATTAGGTTTTCAGAATAAAACAGGAAGACATCTAAGAACAGAACGCTGAACCAAACACCACATTTTACATCCAGACTTTCACGACCAATGTCATGATTCATAATTAGTTTATTTTGGATTAGTTCGTGTAGTTATAACGTTACATTCTTTGACTTTAACCCTCACCACTCTACAGAGCCAATCTAATAAAGTTGTAACGGAGGCAAATACTGTATGCCAATTTGGCCACAGGTGCTCTCTAGCATCTCGGATAAAGTGTGAAAAACAAAAGTCAATTACGGAATCGTGCGAATCAGCGATGTGTTAGTCACATGTACGGGAAGATGATGAGTAACTCTAGTACTGTGCTTGCGCCATATTTAAATTTTCATCCAAGACAAAGAGCATGATAACGAAGCAGCGTTATTAGAGACATAACGTGGGCATTGAATTGGTGATGCGGACTTCCGGGGGGGTGGGGGCAATGCCCCACGGGGTATTCGAGGTGATTATTAAATGTGTGAAATTATATCATACATGCGAATCACTGGAGAAAAAATATGTATGAATCTGCCAATATAGAATAACTACGATAACATTTTAACCCATATGGTAACCTACAGCGATATCAAAGACCTTTATAAAACTCGTTGATCGTAAACAATGTGGTTTCCAAGAGTAAGCAACGCTGCGCAAACACATTTTTTTATTCTCTTGCAGTTTTTTATTCTCTTGCAGTTACTAGCTGGTTGGGATACCTCACAAAATTCACAATTGGTTAAAATATTGTTGTTCATTATTTTGTGTGTGCGATTTGACCCCCCTCCCGCCCTATTGAGGAGGCGCGCAGTATTGCATCGCTATAGGGCATCCACAAGAGTCACTTCCCAAAGAGGAAATCATACCAATGTGAAAGCACTAAGAGTCACCACCCACTCGTTGCCAAGTCAGTTGTCAGCTCGGCTCCGTCCTATGCTAACGCTCAACTCACACCGGCGGTGCAAGGTATGGTGTTGCATCTTGTGCTGGATAGAGTCACATTTGCAAAATGTGACTTTGTAACTTTTATCCTTACCTTTGTATCGATAGTTCAATGTTGAATTGACATTTTATCTTGGTGCGGTCCCGGACTGTTTTTTTGTCGTTGCTTTGCTGCCTTGCCCAAGCGTGTTAAATCGGACTCATATAATGAAAACAAGTATTATATATTTATATGTAGTGACTTGCTTACCATTTTCTCTATTTTGCACTCCTATAGTTTTTGTTCTATTGTTTGCTGTTGTAACTTGCTGACTCACCCATACTGGACATCTGTGAAAAAGAGATTCATAGCTCATCGGAATCCTCCAGCCCAAATAAAGATTCTGATTGCAATTGTCGCTCATTGTGCCGTTCCTGCTGAAATAAATACAATCTAAACTCATAGCGTTTCACCACCACGTGTTCTGCGTACAATTCTACAGAAAGAGGGTGTTTGTAATTGACGGGGGCAGTCATAGCCAGAGACAAAAAGGCTCTGAGTCTGTTCTTAAACGGGGGCAGAGATTTGAGCGGCAGGGTGGCGAAGCGGTAACACTTGTGCCTTTACAGCAAGACGTCTCTGGGTTCGATTACCGACTCTGGTGCCATTTCTGCGTGCATTTTGTACGTTCGCCCCTTCTGCATGGGTTTCTTTTCGGGTTCTCCGCTTTTCATCCAGAGGTAAGAAAGCACAGAATGTAACTGGTGTTGACCAAACATCCCAATGCGGAACTAAGTACGTGCAAAATTTCTCAATTTGGATTATGCACAGCAGCATCGCCCCTCACTTGAAAACTTGGCAAGACTCTCTTGAACAAGAGACATGAGACTCGGTGAGGTTTTTTTCTAGATAAACAAGGTTTATAATTTTTAAAAACTTCAATCTAATATCCAGCAGGGACTTCTGAGTACAGACTACAAGGAGGGAAAGCAGAATGGGCGACCTACCACTCTCAAATTCCTAAAGCTGCCATTAGTGTGCCTCTACGAGCAATTGGGCATTCAAATTGAATCCTAATCGACATGAAGGTGCTTTAGTCTGGCCCTATGACATCGAACATGAGCACTGAACCTGACGAAATGTCAGAGCGCTGAGCTGACAAAAACCGATATCCTGGGTTCAAACTGAGTGTCGTGAGTTGATAGGGCACAAATGACCACACAGAAAAACGTCGTGACATATTTAGTTCTGCACTTAATTTGACAAAAATTCTAGGTCTGAGAATGTTGAGAAACATTTTCTCCAGGAGGGCGAGTGGGAAGTTCCCCCCGACCCCTAGTTAGTGTGTGGATAAGCCCTAATTTGAAGGGATATCAGAGATAGCTCAGTGTTATCTGCTTCCGTGGACCATTCTCTAACATGAAAGGTTGCATTGGGACAAAATCCCAATGGATATGTCATCTCATGACAACATAAAGCAAATCATGTCTTGCTGTGTGTGCAGTGTTGATCGTGTACAGATCGTGGCCACGTCATCATGAAGGTCTATTTGCCGCTTCTGTTGCTGCTGTGGCAGCTGATCCTGCCGTGTCACTCAAAAGTGGAAAAGGAACAGCGAGGTATGCATGATTTTGATTGTAATCTTGCACAAAGAAGGATTTCAGACACAGGTTTCCTTCCACATGCACGTTTATCAGCTCAGTTACCTCGTTTCAAGCTGGAAAATTGAACACATTCGCCAATGCTAACTCGTTTAATACTTAGCTTTGACGGCACCTTTGGCGCCATCTCGCTGCCGCGGCTGTCCCCAGTTGCCTTCATATCGCAGCTATGGATTGATGGTGCCGAAGCATGCATTCTGACAAGTCACTGGCATCTTGTAGACTGGATGAGATGAAGGTTCTGTACCAGATGGGATATTAAGTTTGAGCTTGCGTTGATTAGATTATCCCGTTTTGCCAGTTTCCTGGCTATTTTACCGTGGAGATCCATGGTGGGTGAGCACAGCAACATAACAAACTATAGACAAAAAACATCAATATTGCAGAGACCGAGTACAGGGTCCTTAAGCAATATAGCACCACGAACAAACGAGGTATTTCACAATGCAAAATATATCGTCTATAAATGATAACATAAAATTGTTTTGGGTCTTTCGGTAAAGTCACGTAGATAGGATGAAATAATTCCTGCAGTCACGTAAGCTTTAAGTCAAGACAACATATAAATAATCTCTAAATTATTATATACATTCTGCATTGAATAAGACTGGTTCTCTATCCAATAATACAAGGGTTCAGTTCCAGATGAGACATTATTATATTGGATAGGGCAATAGTTTGTTACCAGATCAACGAGGATTAGTTCTATATTTCATGAGACTATGGTTCTCTACCGGATTGAGACAGTTATGTATCGGATAAGACCAGATGAGACATTGTGTATCAGATAAGACAAGGGGTCTCAAAGACTATTGACTGCGTCAGTGGTAAAGCTAAAATTATCTTGTAATGGGAACCTTTCAGTTTTAACCCCATGCCATATTCATCGCAGTCTACAACTTCACTTCTCCACTACGAATAACAAACACATCGACATATTGTGGCAGTCTCTATGTGGATACACATGTGTACATAATTTGCATGCAAGGGTGTATGCATAGTGAAAATATGGTTTTGGGTGCTAGCCACCATGATACAATCTAGTCGCGCTCACTTCATCTCCCTGTATGTATATATGTTGAACTTATTTCGCACCGTATGTAGCCTACCGTGCTAATCGGAGGTGTAGGGGAAGGACAATAAACTAAACACGAAAAGCAGTTGTAAAGGAATTAGTTTTCAAACAGAAATGACATTTTCAAATATCCTCATGCTGGTATCTCAGCATTGCTAATTAAGAAAACGTGTACATTTATGTCTGGCTTAAACAAACATGCATGTCTTGAAGTTCTATAGGTCAAACAAACTGCATTATATTCAGTGTTGGTTTCACAAAGGGATGAAAATTAGCACAGGATAATTTGCACTATTTTTATGAGTCCGTGAAGGTATAATTCCTTTTTGTTGCATTACAATTGGGAATAATTTTGAGCTGTGTGCTTAAAAGGTTGGTGACGTATTACAAGCTTAAGATTTTAAACCATATATATCAAGTGATCATCAACAGCACATAGCAGAAGCATTCAAAGCAATTGTGCTTGAGATGCTGACCAATACCTCGATGCAATGTCTGTTGCCATCTTCATTGTAAACTTTTCCCATCGTAAACATTTAACGTGAGTCAAAATTACATAAGGATGCCAACTATGTTTCACCCAACCGCCTCACCATGTCGTTCCCTTGTGTGTCGGTGTGTTTCGTGTGTTTGTTTACACGTGTGTTTAGAGTTCACAGATGAACAGGTGAAGGAAACATGCAAGTTTTCCCTGGATGAAATCCACGGTATGAGCTCAAGTTACACAATAGGCACCAGGTTCTGGACGCACCAATCCATTATGCATATCATTGCATTTGCTTTCCTTTATAGCCCCCCTCTATCTCCCAGCTCTCTCATGCTTCCCTTCTCTTGTCTTGGGACCGACAGACGTGCTAACCCAAAGGATTGTTCGAAGTATTACAGAACAATCCGAAAATCCACAATTCAGCAATCCCTGAAGCCCTGAAACTCGTGGATTACTGCTCCCGTAATCCACGGGACACCGTGGCGGATAAAAAAAAAAGCTTTGCAGAGTTACAAACTGCGATCCTTAGGAAGTGAGCGGGACTAACACAGAGCTACGGGATTTGAGCTGCAGGGAAATACCGAAATAACCAAGAATAGGAAATACAAAGGTTTTTATTATATTTGGCAATCTACATTATTTTGGTTTGCATCTGCACAGGCTAGCTGTGTTGACCTGAATTGTTTCGTAGATAAGAATTTGTTTGCATTTTTTAGATTTGGACACCAAGGCAAAACAATGCATAGCATTCTTTAACATTGACCCATATGACAAATTTGCCCAATTTGGGTCCAAGCAAAATCTATGTCTTAATCTGCAAATTTCTGCAAATTTTGCCGGTAGTCACATGCCTGCAATTCCTCTGTAGTCCGGAAAAACTTTGTGGTATGGCACCGCTTGGCTCTTTATTACCATTTTTACCATTACCTGCGGCACGCCATTTTGGCGTGAACATTTTTTTGTGGATGATGCAGTGGCAGTAATAACCTTTTTACAGCCCTGAACGAGTAGTGACAATTCCACATTATTTTGGTGGGGCGAGTGTCTCAATAGGACAACCACTATTACTTCCCTACAATGCGGGACCCAATTTACCGACTCCAGAGGTATACTAATAATAATTACAACTTGTAATGCGCCGCACAATATTCACTCTCGAAGAGACAGATCAACTCGGAGGCACGTAGAGGGACCACAGATGAGCAATGAAAGGCAGCCAGATGGTGGGCCAGAGCGAAATCCCCCCCAACCCCAAGCTCTGCAGTCCTCTATATATTAAGGTGCTATCGGCTCATTAGTAATGGATTAGATGGAGTCCAGTCCACAGTTGCTCTACCACGTTATCCTGGCAAGCCACAGAATAACAACCTCGACGCCCATAGGAAGGGCATTTTCCGACATGTGTGATCCACTAACCATTACCGCCTCCACACAGTGCTGAAGTACAGGCGTGTGCCACCACCACGTGGCATGAAGGCATGCGACAGCAAATGACCTTGTTATTATTTTGCTCGAAAAGGGATTTTGGTCATAAAGCTGTCCCCGCCAACCGCTACTGCTGCTGCCTGTGCACGCTAGTACCCTTGCACAACCCCCACCACTACCCGCTCATTACTACCACCACTACCCGCTCACTACTACCACCACTACCTGCTCACTATCCACTCACTATTGCTACCACTACCTGTTCACTACTGTTACTACTACTCGCTCACTACTACCACCACTTCCCACTCACGCTGTCTCTCACTAAAATCTACTTTCCCATGCACAACCCCCCACTGATATCTACCCGGCTTTAGCTTAGAGTTGCCAAGTTTCATGGATAAAAAAGACAGTAATGCCTTTAAACACACAAACACAAACCTGTGTCCAGTAAAAAAAAACAGAGCCTAAAGATGAAGAGGGGGGGCCGACAGAGGAGGGGGTGGGGCCTAAAAGGAAGCTGTGGGGATGGCCTTAAGTTAGAGGGGGCGGGGTCTAAATGGAAAGGGGTGGGAGATGAATAATGAGTCTTAAGAAGGGTGTGGGGCAGAGGAGCGACGCTCAACAATGTGCGGAGCACACTGGAAGGTACAGTTGGTGCATCTGCCAGTCATCTTAGCCAACCCATAGCACCTAGGTTTGTCTCGTGACCTGTCAGCGAGCCTTCAACACTTCACGTGGACTCAAAGTGCACCTGGCCTGGCATAGGCGCTGTGGCGACTTCACTGTCACTTCGTGGCGAATGGCAGGGTATTGGTATTGCGGCCTAAAAATAAATTCGTGGTGGCCTAAATAGGATTAAGTGGGGCCTAAAGAGGAGTCGGGGCAGGAGGGAACACCCAATTCCACATGCCGAGGGTTAATTGAAGCAAATAATTACGTAAGTGCAGCAAGCAGCAAAAAATGTATTGAGTCAGATGCAGTTACAGGCGAACTATAATTAACAATAATAATCATCTTAGCGAATTGTTAATTTCTACTATATGCATTGGATGGGCTAGTAGACAAGGAGGGTTTAGAATCCTGGTTAGGGCTCGAATGGGTGACCACAAGTGCATACCAAGTGTTGTAGGATTGGGCTATAACGGCAGGTATATGTCTGAAAAATAGATTCCATCCCTTTACTGGATTGAGTCTATTCAATACATCCTTCACTGCGGATCTTTCAGAGTAACCCGCCTCATAAGTGTGGGTTTTCTCTGGGCACACCAGCTTTCTCACATAGGCCAAACAAATTTTGGAAGCCACCTGACAAAGAAGTCTTTAAACTATGTGAGGCATTTTTGGGTAAATATGAATAACAATTGCCATTCGCCAATTAAAATCTAAAACAGTTAAAAATACATTTGAATTTGTAATGCACAGTTTTCACTCGAGCCTCAGAGAAAGAGACAATCGATGTCGAAAGCCACAGACAAACAGGTAGGAAGCCAAAACCGTTTATAACAATTCCCCAAGCTCTGTGGCCCTATACACTATTGGGATGTGGGAAGAAACCACAGTATCCAGAGAAAACCCACGTGTGCGAGGAAAGGGTAACACTCAATCCCCATACAGGTGGAACAAATGGAGATTAATCCACTTGCTTTACTGCCATACCCTGGGAATCCAGGAGATGGTCAACTCAATACCCACTGATAGGAACTTTTCACGAATTGTATGTGGTCCACTAACCCTAAAAAGTGTTGGGTGTACAGGATTGTGACACTGTAGTCTTGTGCAAATATGGTAATCAAGTAAAGCCACGTGGATTCTAACTGCTAGGCAGTACTGTGCAACCAATAGAAGTAAAAAAAAACATGATTCATGATTCCCGTGTGGATTTTTTACAGCAGTTCACTGCATGCATTCATATATCGATAATTTTAATATGAAACTATTGTAATTTCAAAATCTTTCAATTTTAGTTTGTATTTGTAATGAATTACAGCTGCCTTATAATGTAATTATTTAATCACTTCACACACAAAGAACGGCTGCAAAGTTGGGCTCAAGATAAAATATGTGCAGAGCAAAAGTGATACACAACAAGTTTGAAAATTTGTTGGAGGTAAAAGGAAGGTCCGAAAGAAATTCTACGTTCATGCCTAAGGCAATTACTGAAGGTGGATCAGAATCGAAATTATTCAACAAAGAGATTCACAAGAGCAGAGGATTACAACTGTAGAGATGAGGTGATGGGATCAGGTCGTGTGCAGGAGAAAAGGGGATTCTGGCATCGGGGGGCAGTGGTGTAGAGAGATCTTCAGCCAGCAGTGTATTGATAATATCTGATACACAACTGTTGTATTATTTTCTTTGCTACACAATGACCTGTGCGTCCTCAAATAGTATTTGATCAAATATATATCTGTTAGCAGGGGCGGAGCCAGGATTTCAGGCCGGGGTGACATTCAACAAATTTTAATTTCAAGAATGATTAGAGAGTCAGGCTGTTGAACTAGACGCCATCGGTCGGCGATACACTCTGACAATGCAGTTGCACGAGTCGGCCAGACCGAGTGTTGTACACTTATACGCAGAATGTCACCCCTGTCACCCCCCCTGGCTCCGCCCCTGTCTGTTAGTGGCTATTTCTTAAGATTGTTAAAAGTTTTATTTTAGGATTGAAATCAAGATTGAATTATAATTATTTGCCTTTTATTTGTGGTTTGTCTCGGTTTTTGAGGTTTATTTACTAAATCTAAAAATACAACTAATGTTGATAATGACAAAATGGCGATCCAATCCTGTTCACCGCACATTTTCTCGCAGATTTGCTTCTGCTGCTGGAATGTGTTTCTTACTGATATATATCCGACACTGCCATGGCTTAATACGCTGAACTTCCAATCCAGAGCTTGGGAGCACGTTGGTTCGATCATCTGGCATGGCAGTTGAATTAAATGCGAATTTCTTCAATCCCTCCTCCTCTGTCGATCAACACGGTTGGTCGGCAGATTGTCAATATGTAGATTTCGTGTTGGGGGGTAAAATGTGGGTGTTATGACCTATTCCAACACGTCTGTCTAGCATGGAAGAGTAGGCCAAGATATCCTCTAGTGGATGCCCTCCCACCAGAAGAAAAGTGAGCAAGGCATTTCAGATCTGCATCTTTAACCCTTGACCTTTACTGTGTTTTTTTACCAGTCTTACAGTCACCTTGAGGGTGCAATTGTGAATTTCTCACCAGATTGCAAGTACACTGGCTGCCTCGAGGTAACAGCGCGATGTGGCGACAAAGAAAATGCGACTGGTAACTTTGAATCGTACACATGCAGATCCGCATGCACACATATAGATTGAGACTATGCACACGTGCATGCATTCACACATTTTAAACAAAGGCATTCCTTTTAACTCTCTGATGCGTTTTCGGGTTGTACCAGGTGTTTAGCATAATCACCGCTTGTTGCGGAGGGTTTTCAGATCGAGTCGCACAGCTACCCTGGTGAATACTTCTGCTAATATTAAACATGCATGCTGTCAGCTTCACAGTGGATGTTAAATATTCCATGACGTCATTCCAAACAGGGTAGTGGCTGGGCCATATGTGCTGCCATCACAACCCAAATTTGACAAGATTAAAAAACTCCAGCCTGTTCTCCTATAACGTGGTAGTTGCGTTCCTGAAGAACACCATTATTTTATTGTTTCCCTTCTATGTGACTTTACCGAAAGAACCAAAAATAACACCACGTTCTGAAAAAAATCGTGTTATAATAAATAATATATAATAATGGAATGAAAGCACAGTCTGCGATAACACATGAGTTGCATATGCAGGCTGAACAAATATTGAGGTGAGTGGGTAGCATTAAGAAGCATCCCGGCTTGCGTGATGCTCCACTGAGGCAGCCGTACAACCGTTTATTCCTACTAGCGACATAGTTGTGTAAGTTCTGTTCATTCAATTGTGTTATACCCAATTCACATCTGCGTTATAAAAAGTGTTCCCTCATACATTCATCGCATTATATCCAATTCACGTTATGAAAACACGTTAAAGGAGAACAGGCTGTACAGTTGACCCTTCTGCATCGCGACTTTCCCCATCGCGATTTCGATATATCACGGGGTCGGCATAAGAAATTAAATGGGAATTTTTGTGGAGTTTTTGGGAGTTTTGCGAAAGCCGCAGATGACACGCAAAAAGTTTAGTAACTCATAATGTATATAATATATGTACAGTACTATATAACATTAATGTATTTTATCTTTTAATACCATAAATATACACAATTTTTTTAAAGTTACATTTTGCAAAAAGTAAAAGTTTCCGAAAAGAACGCGAAAGCCAGCAGACGACATGCAAAGGCTCACAGCACCCCCCCCCCCACCCCCTGGCTGGAGGTGCTCGCTTCGCTCACCAACGGGACCAAAAAAATGTATGCGGTTTTTTCCAGATCGCAGGGGGCCTGCGCCCCTAACCCTCGCGATGTGGAAGGGTCGACTGTACTTGCAAATTGCAAAAATCTGTGAAATGTAGCAACATCGTCCCCTATTAAGAAACCACTGCAGGCTTCGTGAAGCATAGCACCTTTCGATTTAAAGCTTTCGTGACTGCAAGGATTCATCTTCTTTGGTTCTTTCGGTAAAGTCACGTAGAATGAGAATAAAATAATAATTGACAGCGCTGTCCTACCAGACAGTCTCGTCCCTTCACCTGATGAAGGCCGCTTGTGTTGTGGCCGAAACGTCGTGAGAATTTTATTGTGTTATTTTATTTTATCAATTTGTTATTTTATTCTCATTCTACGTGACTTTACCGAAAGAACCAAAGAAGACATAGCACCTTTGTGATGGCCTTGAGCTATAAGCACGGTGTGAATAGCAAATGTACATTACTGGCGAGATAATTTGTTGTCTAAACTTTCACTCCACATGCTGGGGATCTTCTTTAGGCACCCAATGCAGTTTTTTGAACAACACCATACCGTGCGCCACCACACAATGTTCCGCCACATCAGGCACTAACCACCCCCTGCACCTCCACTCCTTGTAGCACCACACTCTCCTCCCACAACCTGTGCCACCACACCATGTGCTAATTGCACCATACACCACCATACCCTGCACCACGATGCCCTGCACCACCACCCCCTGTGCCACCACAGTTTAAATGTCCTCATCGTTGTCAAAAGCTTGACACAGAGCCGATAAGTTTACGATGCTTGCGTTTACGCCGAGCCTTCTGATGTGTTTTTGCGTGGGGGTTTATGTTGTCGTTATGATGGTGCGTTTCTGCCCTCTCCGTGTGGCCAGCCTGCGAGTTCAAAGAGTGCATCAGCGTGAAGACAAAATGCGAGGAGCCGCTCAACCAGTACCTGACGGCGGAGGAAAGTGAGCCACGAGAGATTTGAATGGAATACTTGCTCTCGTGACATGCTACGCCAATAGCACAATCGGGATTAACATTGGCTAAAAATATAAATAACATTGTAAACAAAAAGCCTGAATGGCAGGTGTACACCAAGTGAGCCACTTGATGTGTCATCCTTATGTTGTCCTGTGATTGATCATCACTTTGCACTGCCTCACAACTGGGCCATCCATTTGGAATTCCTGTATCCACTTCAAATCCGGTAAATGTTTAATTGTTTATGTACTGACAATAACTGTGTTCCTTCAAACTTCTGCGTGGCCATGGCAGTCTGCGAGGGGGACGCGTTTGATCAAGTGGACTTGCGCTGCCTAATTAACTCACGCCAAAGCTATGACGAGCTCACAGGTAACAACTCGCTGCGATCCCTCCTCTGTTGCCATCAATACCTTCACTCATCACCGCCACTAACCCCGGTCATCATCATCAGGCATACTTACGGGAAAGCTATCATTGAGACGATCATAAAGGTAAAGGTGCGGCCCCACAATTGCTCGCTCGTAGCACTGCTGACGGAAGGGCCTCCACTAGAGGGAGCTCCAGAGAGCCCCTCTACTGCAGTGCAATTTGACCTCCTCGCCGACACTGGCCAGACGTCTTGGACGTGTACGTAAGAGGCAGGAGTGCCCACGCTTCACCCCACCACACTAGACCTGCCGATTTACTGTGCTGTGCCCATTTATACTGTTGGGTGGACAGAGGTGGTGGTGAGGAGAGATTTTATAAACTTGCCTATGGTTTCAACTTTCATACCCACCGTGGTCATCATTGTCATCAACGAAGGCCTACAACCATCACAACAACCACCACTCGCGTTGGCAATCTGACGGTCATCATTACTCTGAGGAACATGTATTCTGATCCAGCAGTCTACTGCTGGATGAGGGTATTGCCACGGCCGTACTAGTCATGAGGGTTAATTTACCATACTTCACCACACTGGTCAGTGCGTGGTAGCACGGGAGAGCAACGTGCGTGGGCGCACAGACATACAATTCAACAATTAATTTTGTTGCAGTCTTCTGCCGCCCAGCACATGGACCCACGATGGTCTATAACACCTGTTGTATGCGTCTTGCTCTCCCATCCAAACAACCACCCAGGTTCAACTCTGCTTACCTTCCGAGTTCTCATGGGATTGGTTATTACTCACATAGCCATATTACGATGTCCCTTGAATGTACAGTATTAGCTTAGTCAACCGTAATGATTTCACAATACTGTATAGGTAAAGTCTAGAAACATTTTTTTTTACCTGTGCCACACCACTGGAAGTGGAGTAGAGTCACGGATATAATGTTTGGAAAAAATAAACTGGAACAGGAAAGGGCAGAGAGCACGAACGATTTGGAAATAAGAGGAAAATAATGAAAAATGGGACCATATGTCAGAAAAGATGAGGACAGGGAGGAAGTGGCTACATAAGGGCCTCGATGTTGTATGGGGCAGCGTCTGTTTTCACAGGGGGGTCGGGGGAGGAGTCACGTGATTTACGGGAGGCTTGAGCCGATTTAAACATACAGGGACTCCTCTACTTATGAACATTCGACTTACAAACTTTCAGAGATATGAACAAACCTACCCATATGTCCAGTTGCCTGTTCGGACCGAGAGTTGTAAGTTCAACCGCAGCGCAATAGATGGCGGTGGTGGCATCGACATCTGCAGAACATAAAAAACCAGTGGCATCTACATCTACAGGAGATTATACAACTTTTAAAGCCATTCCTCGTGTTCAGTGTACATGCCGTACAACATGTTTGGAATCGTCAGGAGTAAATTTGGACTTACGAATAAATCGATTTCACGAACAGACCTCTGGAACCTAACTCGTTCGTAAGTAGAGGAGTCCCTGTACATTGTATATATATGTGTAAATGAGAGTTGTTGCAATTGGGATCTGCGTGTCTGGTAGGTGCGGGAGGTTGTTCTGAGTCAATGCATCACTTTCCCCACAGCATGCAAGGGCAAGGGCTATGCGAGCGCCAGGAAGCAATGCTTTCAGAGTATGTACAAGAAGAAGATCGAGGCCATTGGTGAGAGCTGTGCTCATAAATGCGTGGCTTCGAAAGATTGAGCCGGGTCCCCTGCAGATGTCCTGGAACTCGTTGATGCTGCGCTGGTTACCCTGTCTGTCCCTGCGGCTCGTCATTGATGCTATTGATGCTGTTGATATTGTTATTGATGTTGTGTGCTGGGCCCTGATTGCCTCATACCATGCTCTGCTCTTTCTCCTCTCTCTCTCTCATGTTATCCCTGCCCAATGCCCTGACCGCCCCCTCCCACCACTACCCACTTCTTCCCCAATTTAGTGATTTTCTTATGTAAAGGATTTTTAGCTGCAATTGCATTTATTACAAGAGTAAACATGTTGTACTACAGTTGTAAGAGATACATGTATTAACTAGTTTCGGTTAGAACTGTGATAAAAAAAATACCTCACAATTGTCAATGGCACTGTGGCCTTTAAATAAATAAATATATAATGGGCGACGTGTTCGAAAGACCACAGGGATAGAGTTACTAAGGGTTAGAGACTGCACTTAACACCATGGGGCCTGAGATTATATTTTGACCAGTTTCTAAATTAGCATATGAATGGTTACGACTGAGTAACAGAAAGACCCTTCAATAATCGTAGGTATTACCCAGCTAATTTATATTGAAAAGTAATTGTGGATAGATGTGTCCTTGGAAAAGCAAGTCACAATCCACTTAGCAATACATCCCTGGGCCCAATTACCATCACACTATTATTAAAAATAATCTATGCCTGGAGTTTCCTGGCTGGCTGCTGGCTGGGTTCCTGTCTACCCCAACAATAACTCTGTTGTTAGTGGCTGCTTTGAGCCGTTGCCAACGAAACTAGCTGGGTACTTGACGAAACAAGTACCCGTGGAACAAATAATCATTGATATGAATTGAAACTGCAGAAAAAAATTTCAGAAAACTAAATAACAATAATTGATGCCGAAGAAGTGGGAGTAACTAATACAGTATACTGACACAGTTGTTAAATAATGTTCTCGAAGGTTTCATTTGTGCTTTAATGTTATTATTTTGCTAGAATATCCTTTAAATTTTAGGGAATTGAAAAAAATCTCAAAACATTATCTTGGCATTTTATCCATATATATAAAAGGGAAATTTGTGCATGTGTGTCTGTTCGAAATGTTTAGCATACTTCCCAACATGCATCAAACTTGAAATTTGGCATGTCAGTAGCTTCTAGACTGTACACAATGCAAAAATAAAAAAATAGACTTTTGTATTTTGGGGGGGGGGGGGGTGCAATAATGCATGTAATATATTGCACAGCAAGTGAACGATGACGTCACATCTGTGATGTCACCCGCATGCGGAAGCGTTACGCAGTGTGCCTGCTGATGTCACACATCCCCCCCCCAACCCTCCACGTAGGCCGTGTATCCCGTACAAATGCGCGGCATCGCTGTCTCGATTTTCTAAGTCAACGCAACTATTTTGAGCTCGCTCTTAAATATAAAGCAGAAAATACATCTGTTTGTGTGAAGCAGCAAAAATACTCGAACGCTGACCTCTGACGTCATGAAATTTGCACAGCTTCTGCTGTCTGGAATTTCTAAGGAACGCGACTATTTTCAGATCGCGACGTCATTCCTTTCCCGAGTTGTATAAATCGACCTTACGTATAAGTGGGTTAAGGTTGATTTTTCCTTCAGTGAAAAACATCCGATTTAGTTAAATTGATTTGTTTAGGCTTTTTTCTTTCTTGTAAGCATCACATTTTTTCAGGGTTTTTCAGTGAATTATAAGGGAATATGAAATTAATCCAAGACAAGAATCCAAGTCCCGGGTGAAGCCGGGTAGTAAAGCTCGTTATTAGATTAAAAGCAGCTTATTTTAAGTGTTCCGAGTAGAGGATTGTGTGAAGAATATGAACATGACAGCTGTTTATTATTTTCCATTGCAGAGAAATGAGGCCTCTACTAGTTTCAATGTAAAAAAATGTAAGTGCCCTACATTACAGAGGCAGAGAAGTTTGAGAAATAAAATGTGAGGCACCCAAAACGCTGACTGCTCAGCAATTTGGGCCTTTGGTGGAGCTGTGCATCCTGACTTTGGTCAAATAAAAATAAATCTGTTCTTGGTGGCCCAAAAGTCAGGACACATAGGGTTATTATATTTATTTTAACAAATCATAAAGGGTTATTTCATGTATATTAACAAATGTTCAAACGGCATGAATTATTCTTTGAAATTAATTCAGGACTTTCTCTTTTTTAATAATTACAGCTGCCTTCTTTAGCATATATATGTAACAATAAAAACGAATTAAACTGCTTTGTCTTTAGTGCATTTTCCATTTTTTTAAGTAATCTGAAAAGGAGAGATGAAACATAAATATTCATAATCAATAGATACAACATTAACTTAAAGAATAAACATTAAAACAAATTTAATGGCAGTGTTAAATTAAATTAAATAGCCCTATGTGTCTTGACTTTTGGACCACCCTGTATGATCCAAAAAATGGCGGTGCTCGTAATTACCGTGATGATGCAATGGAAGGTAATTGCTGTACCTCTCTGGCGTGTTCCGCTATGCTTCCGATTCTCACCTGCACCACTGTCCCACCTCTTTTCTCGTTCCAGCCAAGAAACAGCTGAATCTCCGCAGCATTCCTGACCGAGTGCTCGGTGAGCAACATGCCAGCGAAACGCACTCGGACGCATTCTCCGCGCACGTCGGGATGTCGTGTCGATCTCGTCCGCCCACTCGTTAACACGTTCCGTCATTTTGTCGTCCAAAGAGTGCGCGCTGGATGACTGCTACAAGAAGACAGAGGAGTGCCTTGAACCGTACCATCTGCAGTATGCTAAAAACCCAGGTGAACATTCTACACCGTCGCAAATATTGGGGACAAATCCATGAATGGTAGGAAAGGAGTTTTCATTAACAGTTGATGAACAAAAAATACAAATTACATATAGTGTTTGTCTCTTTCTGCCAATGTGGCCATTTTATTTGAATTGAAAATTAGCAGAACACATTTATCATAATTTTTTTTTTACCTGGTAAGGCCCACTGATCTATATAGCTCTTTTTTAGAAGCGACCTGGATACAAAAGATAACTCAACGAAGTATCTTATCATGTAGAAATGTATAACAGCCAAATACTCAAAACGCATGTTTCTAAATGGTGAGGGAAAATTGGAGGACCTGGAGAAAATCAACACATCGACAGGGAGCACATGCAAACTCAAAATATACAGACGTCAGAGTCGGAATCGAACCCACGACCTCCTGCATACCAGGCGAAGAAGTTAACATCTTGCCACTGTGGCACCCCAGGATAGTGAAGGAGTTTTCACCAATAGTTGGTGAATAAATATGCATATACTTTTGGTCTCTTTCTGTCAATTTGGCTTGGAGATGTCCGCTTTTGTATTGAGAATATCGTTCAATCGAGAACCTGGTGACCCTGAGTTTGAGTACCAATCACGGCTAACATCATTGGCCAGCGATATCTGTTTATCCTGTCCTGGGTCCATCCAGCAGTGAATGGAAAAGGGCTGTGAAAACACGGTATATATTGCAGGGTGGCCCAAACATCAGGACACTTAGAGTTATTTGATTTATTTTGAATATCACATTAGGTTATTTCATTTATTTAAACAAATGTTCAAACTAACTTCCGTTAACATTAATGCATGCAATCATTATTTTTAAATGGATTTGGGACATTTTAAAAAGAGATTACAGCTTCCTTATTTCGCTTATATAAAAACGAATTGAACTCATTCGTCCTGTCCATCTTCTTACCATTTTTAAATGTCATCTGAAAAGGAAGATGAAAAATCGATATTAATAATCATGACAGATAAAATATTAACCTAAGGAATAAACAATAAAAATGTTCATTGCCAATATTAAAATAAATGTTTCCTGACTTTTGGGCCACCCTGTATATATGCACGCCTACTATAATGCCCCAATGTTCAATAGAATGAGCATTAGCCATTTCATTGGAATGCGATCTTTACCTGGCCATGCCCATTACTTTGTTGGTTGACTCTAGGTGCTCTGTCATTGACTTCCACCCTGTTTTTTTTCTGCAGCCTCCTTGCGGGAGTTTCAGCTGGAACATTGTGCCTACGTCGCCAAGGACTTCCCCCATTGTGAGAACAGGGAGGAGCTCCCCTCCACTCATCTTCCTCTTCCCACTGTGCTCCTATGGCCACGGGGCACCCTCCAGTCTTGTCTCCTCATCCCCTGACTCCATGAGAATAGCCTTTTCTAGCATTAGCACAAGCGTGGTTGGCATTGGCCCTGGTGCAGAAAATGAAATGAGGCCCATGTTGAACTTCCCTCTTCAATTTAACACGTAGGCTTTTGCGACCAATATTATTGATAAAGGTTTTTGGGTTAGTTTGTGTAAATATAAATGTGTCATTAATACGTTCGGCATATTTGCAGATAAACATAATCCATTATAATTTTCATAATTACAATTAACCCCCCCTCTGATCTTTGCACCTGATAGGCTCACAGTGATGACATCATCTTGCTCTATTTAAGACCAGAAGCAGGAAGACTTCTTCACAAATCGCCTGATGAAGCTGGTTGCAATCACCAGTGAAACATCGCACTCAATTGTAAATGTCGTGAGTTTACTCGCCATCGCACCGATGTGCCGAAGTAGTGACTAATTGGCACGTTTTGTTTATGTGACAAACCTTACTAATTGGTTGTGTCGGGTGGTACATTTATATTCCCTACTCTTCATAGCCCGGCGCCTGCGTCCCTCTGTCCCGTGGGACCCAGTGATGCTGCACACTCCATAGCAAAGCCACTTTCTTCCAGTCTCCATTAAAAGTTTCACATTTATAGCTGTGAATCAGGAAACCAGGACACTACCTTTCAGGAAGTGACATTGTTAGCAATGAATTATTTATATTAAGATCTTTGTAGATGAGACACATTCAAGGGGAAATGGAATTCCAAACTGTCCTATGCTTGAAATGTTTGTTTTTTGTAAGCCGTTGCAGCTGCAGGAGAGCTCCTTTAGTCTACAATACCATAGTCATTTGCTACTCTTGCATTCAAATTCCCCATGAAAAGTGGGCATTCATGCCGATGTTGTTTTAGGCTTTTCTAGGAAATTGCCTGTGTCCGAGTCTTCAGCCCTTTCCGTTCAACCTAAGTCGCACTGATTGTCATGTATCTCTGAATCTCAGATATTTATGGTTCTGTGCTTGGCATTACTGTGTCGTGTGTATTTCTTATCCAACACTGTCACACTGTCGTCTTTGGTTCATCTTGAACTGCACCGGTTACTCTACCATTGCTTCGTCATGAAAACTTGATCTGCGACAGTAAGCCGCCCCCCCCACCCCCCCCCCCCCCCCGAGTCCACTTCTCCCCAATGCTGGGTGCCTCAACACCTAACGTGGATCTCGTTTGACCCAGTGTCATCCAAGTCGGTTTCACGATCAATAATCATTGTCTCACTGTCCACTGGGCTGCAACCATTCATCCTCCTCGTGGGTAACCACTTGTGAGGCACCTTATCTCTGTTACTTACAAGCAAGACAACCTGGGTTTGTAATCGGAGTTTCCCTTTTCTAGACAGATTTGACTCAACAGGCTAAGCGAGCTCTATCTGCCCCGGTGTTCATTCAGAATTCCTTTTTCCTAGAGCCCGTGCAGGTTTAGCCTTGGTGCGCCAGCGCCTGGTTACTGTCAGTCTGTGGGTAGGCCACGTATCAACCAGGGAGATTATGTACTCTGCCTCTGTTTGCAGCTCAGAGGCTACAGCTGGGGGCCTACGAGGTAGCACTCACAGAAACTCAACGCATCATGCATATGTGCATATTCATCTGCACGACTCAGCGGAGAATATTTTACGAACCAAAAAATGAGTACCCTTTTTAAAGAAAACTAGCAGTCCACACGTTCTTTGGACATGTCCTTCCCTCCACAGACAGCCAGCCAGTCTTTTGTATAATGTAGTATGATAGTACGATAGCATATCCCGTGCATTTGCGCGGCACCCAGAGCCGGCCGGGGTGGAGGGTTGGGTGGGTGTAGGAGGGATGATGTCAGTGCGACGCACATACTCAGCACAATGCTGTGGGATGCAGTGACGTTCGCACGTGGACTTAGCCGTGCGCCAGCCTGACAGGAATCCAGGCAGAACACGTTTTTTTTCAAATATGGTATGACGGCCGTCAGGTAAAATAAAAACCCACATTGTTTGAGAGGCCTTGATATTTGAAAAGTTTGGCACAATTGTGGCAGCATATACATTTAATAATATTATCTGCAATCATCCAGGAAAGCCTCATTGAGTCTCAAGACTCGCTTTCACAAGTGTCCTGGATTGGGATGTTTCGCCAATCTATTAAGGGTTGTCTGTCTTTATGTGGGAGGACACGGGAGAAACCCCACGCAGATGAGGTGATAAGACAACGCTTCGCAATGTATGCTGTGAGCTAAATCAATTTTTGTACTGCCATCTCTTAGTTACCTCGCTACCCCCATGCCTATTACACCCATTCAAATCCTAACTAGGCTCAAATCTGCTCAGCTTCCAAGTTCCGAAGAGATCGGGCACATTTAAGGGGTTTTGTTTGCTTGTACGGTTTGTGTGTGACCTCAGACTGTGAGACCATGCAATGCACCAAGGAAGTGGATGCTTGCGGAATGCAGAATCGGAATTTGATAGAAGAGGACGGAACTGACGGTGAGTTACACACCATATTGCACGGAATTCTGTTTGCCAGCTTTAGTAAAGAATACATGCAGCCATGGTGTAATAGTTAGTGCACTGGACTTGCAGTTCATAGGTCGCTGGTTCAATCGATATCGCAGCAATGCAGGAGTTGAAACAATGGGAACGTTTCTTAAACCTCATAGTCTCTATCCACCAGAGGTTGTCGATCGGCAGGTCGCGAGTCGGTGGGGTAAAGTTTAAATACACCGGCCTCTTCCAAGATGCCTGGCCAGTATGGCAGGGTAGGCCACACATAACTTCCAGAGGTGATCTATAGAGCGTCTTCTGGTTGAGGCCCTTCCGCCAGCAGCGACAGTAACTATGGCAAGTCCTCTATTTATATTGGGGATACGTCCATGAAAAACCGCGATGTTGAGCGAAAAGGCGTAAACTGAAAACCTACTTCACCATTGACTCAATGATATCAGTTTAACCCGTAGGCTTTCGCGATAAATATTATCCATAAGAGGTTTTTTTAGTGACATCGTGTAAATATAAATGTGTTGTTAAACCCACCACCCGACAAAGCCAATTTGTAAGGTTTGCCACAAACAAAACATGCCAACTTGTTACTACTACATCACACTGGTGTGTCGAAGAGTAAACGCTCATGCTTTGTTTACATGACAAATCTTACTACAGTGGTACCTCGGAGATCGAACGCCCCAAAACTCGAACAATTCGGTGATCAAACAAAATTTTCAACCATTTTTGCACCGGACATCGAACAAAAATTCGGAGATCGAACAACTGGAAAAACCTGTTTGGGCCAAGGCGCATAGCCAGCGCGACCGAGACAAAGGCGAATGACCCAGTTTACTCGTAGCTCTCGTTCTTTATCACTGTAAAGTTCCTGCCCCCCAATACGACTCCTCTCATCCAGCCCATGGACCAACAGGTAATTTCCAACTTTAAAAAAACTCTACACGAAAGCCCTTTTTCAAAGGTGGCAAAATGGGCTGAGTTACACAATTTTGTAGAAAAATATCCAGATAAGGCAGTAGCCAGCAGAGCAGGCGATTTTTATAATGATAATGCATTGAGTAATTTCAGAAACATCTTCAAACGGAGGCAGAAACAATCCTCTCTTGATCCGTTTTTAGTAAAAAGGCCCTCAAGTGAATCACAGTTAGTGCTCGAAAAAAGGCAAAGAAATAACCCCAGAAGGGCAGTTACCCAACGTTTTAATGGAGGGGGACTCCCCTTCCAAGCAACACTGACACCTCCTCCCTCCCCTCCTCACCACCATCCACTCAAGCCATCCACTCTCCTTACTACAGGTAAAGCGAAGTTCAATGTTCATTTATTCTATTAATTATAACTGTGTTTTTTGTATGCTTTTATGTACTGTACTGTATTTTAATATTGTAAACTTTGTGTAAAAATGGCCCATAATAGGAGCATCCTTGGGTGGGGAACCAATTAATGCTATTTCCATTCATTCTTATGGGGGAAATTGATTCGGTGTTCGAACAATTCGGTGTTCGAACACGGTTTTGGAACGAATTAAGTTCGATCTCCGAGGTACCACTGTAATTGGCTCTGTCGGGTGGTGCCGAGTTTAATGACACATTTATATTTACGTGATTTAACAACAAAAAATACCTATGGTTAATTATGTACATTTAGGATACGTTCCTGGGGTTAATTCGTTGGTCAAAATTTGCATAAAAAATTTAGTAGGTACCAAGAAAAGATAACAAAAGATGCCCAAATATGTATGGTTGTTAACGCATTTAAATACACATTGTACGTTAATGCACGGCAACTCACCGGAGATTTGTGGCGGAGATTGGATTTAGTTTGGTGTACAATGCGGTGGCGATGTTGGATGCACCGAGGCTTGAGTGCCTGCCAGGGGGCACCCTGGCATTAGCGGGGGCACCGTTGCGCACGCTGCCCAAACTCCTGCGTTATTTCAACTCTTAAAAACGACGTTTTAGTGAGTCGATGCATGTCAAATTGAATTACGTCCCTTGATTAAATCTTGATTTGAAGCTTTCGTGACTGCAGGAAACCATACTCTGGTTCTTTCGGTAAAGTCACGTAGGTAGAAAAAATAATAGATCACGATGTGTCGATCGCAACACAAGCAATCGTCATCAAGCGAAACAGATACAACAGGAAACTGCTGGGACAGGAGAAATAGAGCATATATTTATTTTTCTCCTGCCCCAGCAGTTTCCTGCTGTATCTGTTTCGCCTGATGACGATTGCTTGTGTTGCGATCGACACGTCGTGATCTATTATTTTTTCTACCTACGTAACTTTACCAAAAGAACCAAAGAGTATGCCCCTTGATTCGTTCGTGCGACACTATTGTGAAGCGGCATGCATAGGACCAACGTAAATAGAGTCCTTACTGTAATTAGGGAACTGCACTTTTACCTTTTTTTCACATGGTCTTCATTCTAGTGATGAACTGTTTTATATTCCGCATGTTCAGGAAGCTTTACATTCGAGTGCACATTGCATTAAACGTGGTGTCTTGCAACAGGCGCAGTGAACTTACACTCTGGCTACATTGCCTCGATAAGGAAATTGTACACGTTGCATGTAATGTGTTCATATCGACTTGCAGCTACTAGAGGTGCTAACATTCATGCCTCCTTGAATCATGACAACTGGGTTGGGTCATTCTACCCCTATAATTACACAGATGGTTGAATTTACATCATTGTCAACTCGTGCCATCTGCCCTACTATCAATGTGACAGACCTTATGACATTGTTATCAAGAGATGACTACTTTGAGCCAGTGCTATGGATCAGAAACCCAAAAATGTGATATAATTAATGCCCTCTGCACATTTGTATAACGCCAACAATACCTTGTATTCTAGCGACTTGAGTTGGCCATATTTTGCCCAAAATTCGAGTTGAAAGATAACTCAATTTGGATCTTTCTTTAACAAAGTTGTGTTTTCCATGATTTGCCGAGTTATGCGAGTAATCACACGAGTTGGGCAGGTCAGCCAGTTCAGTAAAAAAAATTCAGGCAAGGGCCATTGGGCTTAAGAAGCTCGTTTTCAATGGCGACCCGGCCAACGGTCGATAATGTGCCATTCACGTTACATATGAATGGAGAATTTGCAGGTGTTCCATAAAAAAAAGCAGGGACATTTTATAAACATAGCTAATAAACAACCTCAACTATGTACAATGGGAGTCAAGCTATCCGTCCAAAATAACAGTTGGCATGACACTAGCGAGTGACAGGTGTTATCTATGAATACTTTTGAGCAAATACTTTCCCAGACATAGCCTAGGGTCAAAGGCCAAGATCAATTTGGTGATGATAGGTTAATTGTAAAGGTTAATTGTTAAATTAAATGTAAAGTAAAATATTCCCTCTAGCTACAGCATTTTTTATCGTAACATATTTGGTGCTGTAATTCCATTTGGGCCGAATTATGACGCGGCGAATCTCGGCAATCGCACGTAGCAAAATTACTTGCAGTTGACAAAAAAATATGGATACGCAACTGCCAGGGTGGCAACTTAAGTTTCGTGGTTCACGGTCTGCCAGCTCTACAGTGCACTGTGTGTGTTGTGTCTCGCCGGGTGCAGTGGGACTCATCGCTGGCGTTGTGTGTGGACTGCTGGTGGCCATCATCGCGGTGGCCTGCGTTGTGTTGTTCATCAAGAAACGAAGCCAGAGCCGTGAGTGCACGCTCATTTGCACCAGACTTTGCTGCATCTTATGTTCATAATAGCGTTAATTGCAGTGAGACCTGTCTATTAGCCATTCTTTCTATTTTTTTCATTGATAAAAGTGATGCAGAAAATTCATCATATACATCCTCTTTTTACGTATTTTTTTTTTTACATATCACCAAAAGAACCCCAGTAAATCTCCCCGGGTAATACCTCACCGCCGGCCAATTTGTTGTCATTCCCCTGCACCTCCAATTAAAATGGTTGGCTACGTACGGTGCGAAACAAGTTCAACATACATACATACTAATCGTGTGCCTCTGTCACTCGCACCAAAGGTGGGAGCAGCCCCAACGGACGAGGCTCTCCCGTGCAGTTCAGCCAAGTTTCAACCATCGCCAATGCGTGAGGAAGCAAGAGAGCAAGCGTGCGAGCACATACGTACATGCGTACGTGCTGTGTGGTACGGAAATCTCTGTGTCACAGCGATGGGCAACTCAAAAAGACCACACGTGCCACTCAAACCCATGTTTCTTGCGCATATCTTGTTAATTGGACCGTGTAAGTTTCTTGATTGGCATACAAAGGGGGGACCGTGTATGTCCCGTGCGGTATTTTGAATTGCCTATGCATGGTTTTCTTGCTCAATGATCATTGCGTTGCTTTGGCTCTGCGTTTTACTGAAAAATTCCACTTACACATTCTATTGCAAGATTGTAACAAATGGCATCAAAGACAGCAATAACAATGTAATGATCTGACTAAACAAAATTAAAGCATTGAATCGAATTTCCCCAAGATAATTTCCCCAAGATAAATGCAACGTAATCCTAACGTTTGGCCATAAAACGTTAGGCGCATGAAAATATCGCGCTTGTGAGACTCCTGACATATGCGTTGTAAACGCAACTTGCAGTTAACTCTGGAGATCCATTGTGTCAAAACCCCCTCTCTTCAATTGCAGTCCCAAGTGGTTCATAATCTATGGATATGTGAGACGGTGCAGTGGATAGCTTGGTTCGTTAACCACAAAGCATTTTCCTCTTGGGCCTCCCCCCATGATATTGGCACTCATGAATCTGGCCCTGAATGGCAAGTATTATGAAGTTGATGTTCGCTGACATCAAATTGTGATTGAATAAATTGACCCAAAGCGATAAAAGGGTCTCTGGTGAAATTTTGCACTGACGGGATGGATGCTTTTTGTATTTTTAACACAACTTAAAATACTAGAGGACCATTGTATAATTAGAGTCCGCTTAGATGACCGTTATGTTTTTCGTTGCTTATCATTCAGGTGAATTTTCGTGCATTTTGGTGATCTGGATGTCTGCAGGGCGAGGTTCTCAAACTCCAGTCCTCGCGACCCATAACACTATGTATTTCTGCATTTACGTTCTGATGCGCCCTACTACATTCTCACCTACTCCGACTGGACATCTGTGGATAAAAAAGAGCTTTACAGCTCACCAGATTCCTCCAGTATAAATACATTTTCTGATTCTGAATTACCAATTTACTCTCCATTCAAATACAAATAAACTTGTTCGGTGCTGCACGGGCCAATTTATTGTTAAACATGTCCAATGTGATGTGATAATCAATTAACGCTGTCTGTGTAAATATAGCGCAATCAAATTAATATTGAGATCTCCAGTGTGTGTGCACTCATGCTTCCGCGTCACGCGTACAGCGTTAATTTCTTAGCGCTCGTCACGTGAGACGTGTTTACAACAATCATGGGACTCGTGCGGCGTGGAACGAGTTAATTTTATTTGAATGGGGAGTATATTTGTAAATGCCTAGAGACGTAGCATGGTGAGTCACGCGGACTGGAGTTTGAGAAACCGTGCTCTATGAGTTTTTATTAAAACTGTGGTTCGCTGGTTCGAGCTGGGACTCCAGACCCCCTCTCACAAAGCAGATGCAACCCTAAAAAATACTACAGCACTTACTGTATAGACACATTAACATGCATAAGAATGCGCTTATTTTAGGGTCCTGCTTTGGGATGCTTAGCCAATTCCATGAATGAGTGGTTATTTTAACTCGAGAATTCAGCCCTGAATTACTCGACACTGTTCCAGGGTCCGGTCCTGGAAGACATGCACAGGGTTGCCCAGATGTCGTGTGACCGCCATTTAATTATCTTAAACTTAAAGGTTTATTTAAAATATAAATGAATACACAATGAATATACAAAGGCAAACATGTTATGGATCAATTAATTGGGGGTCACATGACATCTGCACAACTCTGTAAAGTGCAAGTAATAATATGTAATTTCATATATAGGCTTTCACAGCCAATATTATTACGATTCTGAATTACAGTATTTTCTATTTGGGCGAGATCGTGTCGGTATACAGTCACGTAAACAAAATGTTACTCTAACCCTCCACCACCTGGTAGAAACAATCAACTTGATATATTTGGATTTGTAAGGTGGTGAAGGTTTACAAACGAAATCAATTATGAACAAGCAATACTATATCATTTGCTCACTCAAAAGATTAATTATTTAGCCCTCTATGTAACAAGATATTAAATGTTGTATAACATCATGCAATAGCGGGTAAAGTGTCTACAGAGGGCATTGTTACACCTGGTCTCTTGGACCCAGGGCTGCATTCTATGATTAAAGCTGTGGTTACAAGTGTAGGCACAGCGCTCGACGGTGACATCACATCGATTAGCACAGTTGGCTACGTACGGTGCGAAATAAGTTCAACATACATTGCGTACCATATTTTTCTACCCTCATTAACGAAGCTCTGTGTCTATGAAGGAGGCGAAGTGTTTTTTTGTGGATTGTGTGTTTCTTTAGGATAAAGCTTTGCGCGATCATTCTGTGTTAGATTCTGGCCTACCGCTGTCATGAATATAGGCATCAACGTTCCCACAATACAAAGATTATAGCCTGTTAGGGCTGGTGCTGTTAAGGAGCACTGATGGGGTGGGTGGCCAGCACCACGCCTCGCCACCTTTGTTACTCGTGTTAATTTGGTTTTGCGTTGACAAAATGGAGATATTCGCCACTGATGGACGTGGACGAAAATCGATATCACGCCACCGGGCTCGTAGTGAACAACGCTTATTACTGCACCACCGCCCCCAATACAGACACACACATACAGTCACAATAATCATTAGTAGCTTTGTGGAGATGACAAACAACGGGATAAATGGACAATATTTCAGTAAACATGGATCGTTGTAAAATTCTAACAACACGCCAAAGTTGGATGTTAACTGAGATGTCTCCAATAGATATTTAAAATCTGAAATCAATTGTTATTGTATAGAAAGACACTAGTAGTGCTGCTTGGTGCACAATATTGCAATGGTGTGCAATCTCTCTTTAATAATCGCTGGGGTTAATTTTGCTCATATGAGTTTTTACTCTTGGAGTTTATCTTCAATATAATTGTTCATTCATAGGGTTAAGGAGCCGTCGGCAAAGTTGCACAGGATAACGGAAGCTAGCTGTTCACCATTCAACAAAAAACTCAACACATTCGTCAATAATATTGTCACCTTTAAAAAAAGGTTATAGTAGGTGACGTTTCGGGTAATGCCCCTTTTTCACAGTACATAGGAAAGAGGAGCTATTGCGCGAGACATCGCTGATTGTATCTTACGATACCAAATCGTGACACTGGTTCCATGTCAGACTGCGATTCACTCCAGCGGAAGGCGTGAATGTGCCTGTGGATAGACTTTAGCCTCGTAATGCGGAGGCGGGCCCGGCATACATAAATTTCTTCTGAGCGGGTTTTTTTTTTTAAATAGCAGCTCAATAAACGTGCAACGTTAAGCCAACGTTGGCACGTTATTAAAACCTTTGGGCCAACGTTGGCTCAACGTTCCATGTTTACTGGGGGGTCGGGTGAAGACAACATTCCAGAATCACAGGAGACATCACATCGTCAACAAAAGAGGTGCGCAAGCTTTCAGCCGGAACAGTCAAGGAACGTTACCATCGGGGATTGTTGGCTCGTCACATCCACCCCAGTAAAACATGTAACGTTTGCCAAACGTTCGGCTAACGGTTCCAGCTATGTACCAACGTTGAAACAACGTTGGCACGTTTACTGGGATCTTGCCTAAATGTGTCCTCAGAACTTGAATAAAACGGCTGATAGGTTTATTGGAATATAGGGAACAATAATGGAGGATTCTCACGTGTTCTGTTCTCTAGTGGTAGTGCTTTCCAACAATAATCGCTACTCCATGCCAGCCTAGCAATGTTCCGGAGAATATCGAGTGATTAATTAAACTCTGCTCCTATCCCTAACAAGGTGAGTGGTGTCTCTTCGTTGTATCCTTCTAAAATGGCTACATGCAGCAGCCTCCTAATGTGTCTCCGTTTCGTAAAAAAAACAAGTGCACAAAAGAGGACCTTGCTGTTGTCAGCAAAATTTTGGTTTTGGAATTGTCACTCACTCGACTGATGTGATTTGATTTAAATACGGTGGTTTGTTTTCAACACCAGTTTGGTTTTCTGCCTATTTGAATATAAACACGTCCGGTGGTGTAAACATCTCTATATACCAATTGTGGCAAATATTTGGTGTGTAATTTTTTCTGAAGTGAGAAATAAAGGCTTAAGATTGCTGAACAATTAAGCGTTGTTTTTCAAAGTGCGTACAAAAAGTGTCTAAAAGTGTGTGTGTGCGGTGGCACAAACACACTGCGCTACGAACCCGGCCACCCGAGTTCGAGTCGGCAAGCACCATTGGCGAATACAGTATCTAACCTGGTCGTAGGCCTCCCCTAGGTTGACTCTGCTTCAAACGAGTACCAGGTGTGCTGTGTAAATATCGCCACTTGGGAGACAAAGGTGGCCGGGAGTGTTGCTGCCCACCCACCCGTCCTCTTGTGTATCTTGCCGGCCTTCATCGGTTCTTGCCAACAGTATTTTAATCGATTGGCGGTAGCCCGGGTCACCAGAAATTATTGGTGGGCCGTGCATAGATTAAGGTTTTTTTTCCTGGGAGCATCGCTGGTACTACCACCCTGTCCTGCCGGAGGGCGACGCTGGGAGCGATGATGACGACGATGTCGATGCCGTCAGCACGACCATGACCGCCGGTCGTACCAAGAGAGCGCCTGGTGCGCCATTGCCTCCAAGTGGTCTCGCTCCCAAAGACAAGGGGGGTAGCCACTCCCGTAAGAAGCAGAACGTGCTGGGGAATGACCAGACCAGCATCCTGATGTACTTTCAAAACAAGCAATAAACAGCCATTGCCACGCACACATCCCCAGCAGCCCCCCTTTGTTACGGGTGTTTTGCGTGTGTTTTTTTATTTCCATATTTGGCGTGCGTATCGGGCTCAGTGATATCTCCCGTCTTCATAGGCCTTCTGGTTTCGGAGTTATGGAGGTTTTGGCACCCCCGGGTCACGATTGTGACCCGGGTCACCGCCAATCGATTCATTTGTCCCTACAGTCTGTTGTGGCTAGAGAGGGGATCTTTGTAAAATCAAATGAGATTTCGTTAAACTCATCAAGTTTTGGCAGTGTTCGCCTTGTTGATGCCAAGACCATCCAGCCAATCACAGCAGTGCCATGGCCATAGCGCGTTCGCCGCTTGTTGCATGCAAGGTTCACGGATTGAATCCAGTGGCCACCCTGGTTATAACCGAGGTTGTAATAATCATATTAATACTTCACAGCGGATGTTAAAGGTCCCCTGACGTCATTCACAAGAGGTCACTGTGCGCCAGCGTCAGGGTCAAACATTTTCCAATTCTTAAAAGTTCACAGTCTGTTCTCCTGTAACGCCGGGTGTTTTCATAACGCGAATCGGATGCAACGCGATGAATGTATTAGGGGACACATTCGGATGCGAATTGGTGTAGCATCACACAAGGTGAGATGCTGCTGGATGCTTCTAGATGCTACCCACACGCCTCAGTCTTTGTTCAGCCTCCATACGCATCTCACGCGTTATCACGGACTGTGCTTTATCCTATATTATGTTTTTTATTATAACGCGATTTTTCCATAACGTGGTGTTCTTCAGGAACGTAAATACCGCGTTATAGGAGAACAGACTGTCACCCATAAAGAATACTCGGTTGGGATGACAGTATTCCCTCGTTATTCCCGAATTTTCCGCGATTTTGGCAATCTGCGAATCGCATCTGGAACTCTACACGTTTGCATCGAGAGAGCGAAATAAAGTGATGCGAGAAAGTGATGAGAGGAAATATGACGAGATAAAATGACGAGAGATAAAGTGATGAGAGGTAAAGTGAGGTGATATACAGTGATGAGAGAGGATATAATGCGAGAAAGTAATGCGATAACTTAATGAGAAAGTGATGAGATTACTTCCCGTATTTAATAACTTATTTTTGTATTTAAGGTAATTCATTAACAAGATATGGTTTCGTTAGCAAATATCATTATCCGCGAAATATGACATTTACGAGCATCTCCAAAACGTATTCCTCACGAGGGAATGCTGTATACACAGCAGCAATCAGCAGACTAATGCCCCAGTTCGCGCTTGCAAATTAGACTTAATCCTCGTCTCTTGAGTTCTCACTGCATTAAACGCAATAAACTTCGAGCAGCGCTGCCGCATAATGCAACAGCACTCCAAGACGGCTTTCGTTAAATTTGAGAGTTGCACGCAACAATTTTAACATCATTTGCACCCCGTGACAAATAAAGCAATCCTGAAAAAACACGTGCAGTTAAAAACAACACTGCAGGAATGTTGCACCGTTTTACCATCAGCTTACTACCGCGGATACATTTGTGTTGTATGCAATTGGTTGGATGGAAAGTTAAAAAAACAAATTCACGTAAGTGCACAACATAAGCAATAGCAATAATGATTCTTTATTATAACCGTGACAAACCCCTGTTGTCGTTTTCAGATTTAGGGTTGCCGCGGTATAATTATTGCACGATGCGATATTAATGTTCACGATATGACAACAATCACGATATCAGTGTCCTATAACTTTTGTAATCGTATTTCACAATTGTATTGCATCGTTTTTGTGTATTTCCAGTAAGTATACTACACTTTAAGGTTCTCATTCACCTGTTTATCCCTTCACATTCTAAAGGCATATTAATCATTGTAACCACACCTGCATGGACATATGTCGAACTTCTTTCGCACCGTACATAGCCAACCATGCTAATCGGAGGTGCTAATCTATAACCATGAAGCCCCGTTAGGAATTATGCTTTTCCTTTCCATTACCACAAGGCCGTAGCCATGGAGTCAACATTTGGGGGGACCAAGTCTTCCAGGGGGTCTGGGGGTCCCTCCCCAGAAAAAAAATCTAAATTTGAAAACTCATTTCCTGCCATTTCCTGCCTAAAATATTTTAAAAATTAACTAACACATAGGATGGATTTTTTTTTACAATAATGTCTAATAGTGTATTGTATTACATTGCTCTGTTTTTTTCTTTTTTACCTTTTCTTGTTTCATTGTATGTAATGGCAGAGATTAGGGATTAATAAAGTACAACCATAACCACAATCATATAAACAGAAATCTATTTGATAGCAATATATTGGGGGGACATTTTGAGCATATTTTAACATTGGGGGATGTGTCCCCCCCCCCAATATATATTATAATTACGGCCTTGCATTACCGACAATGTCAGAGTCACTCGACGCTACGCCATGGACTCACACATCAACAAGTCACCCGAGTGATCTCACCCCGTTGGCACTCTTTTCCCGCGTTTTCTCTCATTGCGGGAATTGTTAAATCCGCTATTCTGCTAATAACAAACATTCTCACCTCCCCCCCTCGCCTCTCTGTCGATCCGCTTCTGGATGAAGGCCACCCCATGTTTGTCATCCATGGGGAAAGAGTGGTGGTGGTGTGGGCTGTATTTGTTTAACTATACTTCACCAAGACAGAACTCGCTAGTTTTGTTCGCCTCAGCACTGGATAAAGCTGGGGGCTTTTTCCAGAGTTCATAGCGCAGGGATAAGAAAACAGGTATCTTTAGCCAGAATATGTGAAGAGAGTAGAGAAGGGGCGATATTTTGATAAGATCGATAAGAAAAGTTGGTGAAATTAGGAGGAATACTTGTGTAGAGGTGTTAACTACGCGCTGTTGCATAACCTGCGTTGCCACCAGGGCGGTGCAGCATTACCCCTGGGTACAACGGTTGGGGTCAGTCGAGGTGAAACGGATCGTGGCCAGGGTTTGGTGCGAACCAATCAGACAGTTCCACGTGGGAATGTGTGATTGGTTCTGCCTGGCCACGAAGGGGTATAAGACGGGTGACCCAACGGACCTCGTGGAGTTCTCTCCCTGCACGAAGACAGAAGACTGGGCTGAAGCCTAGCTAGGACCCTGGACCAGCCTCCCAGCCCTTCTAAGGGCTAAGGCTCGGCATACCCAGTGGTCAGGACCCACCGGGCCAGCGGTGGGTCAGATAGCCTCCCCTAGGTCCTAGCCGGAGGACTAGGATAGCGGTAGACGTGTGAGTCCCGCCAAGTCCGGAGGCTGTACCTCCCTACGGTATCGGGTGAGGGGACCGAATATCCCTCTGTGTGTGTTAAGCGTTGTATAAGGAAATAATACAATAAACAGAGTGTGCCTCCTAAGAAGTCTGCTCGTCCTTACAACACTACAACTGGAGTCAGAAGTGGTTGGAAATGGAAACTAGAAGTTCAGCCCACGCGCGGAGCCAGAACGAAGATAACGCTGTCTCACCTCCAAGCACCGCCAGCTCTGCTGAAAATGCTGCCGCGTTGACGGCCGCCCAGCCACCGGTTGAGCAGCCGGTTGCTCCCCCTGCCATGGGGGACGGACTCAGGGCAGCACACGGCCGTCTCGCTCAACTCCTACACGCCGCGGCCTCCATTCTCGAAGAGATCAACTTGGAGGTTGCGGGCAGGCCGAGTCAACCGCCGGCAGACGTTCCCGCCATCGGCCAGGGCAGACATTTTGATTTTCCCGCCGGGGAACCACGTGATTCCGCCAGAAGTGGAAGCCAGGGGCATCCTGGGAACGCGGGGGGCCAATCACAACCCGCAACGTCATCAGCACGCGACGCTGCGGATTCAAGTTCCTCAGCGGACGCCGCGTCATCACTGTACCTACACGGTACAGTAGACTCTATCGGCCGGGAAATCGCCGATCTCCGGCTCGAGACGGTACAAGCTGAGGGGGAGACGACGTCCGCCCTCCAACAACGCCTGCCCATCTTCCGAGAATTCACATCTGAAGGGGGCGACTGGGCGGCGTTCCAGCGTCGCTTCCTGAGCCACCAAGAGATGGTGGGCTGGTCGGACGCACAGGCGCTCCGAGCACTACCGGCCACTTTGGATGACGACGCTCTCGCCTCGCTCCTCACCATCCCCAGGCAACAAAGGGCGACTCTTCAATCGGCCCTCCGACGGATGTCCGACGTGTACGGGCCTCCATCCGACGTCCGCAGCCGATTTTACGACAGGCGACGCCGCCCTAAAGAGTCTCCGTTGGCATTCCGGACCGCTCTACTGGCGATGGCAAGAGCAGGTTACCCTCGCATGGACGACGAGGCCATCGATGCCATCGTTCTCCAGAAGATGCTGGAGCTGGCGCGCGAGCTGCGCATCGTCATCCAAGCGATGGACGACGACAGTATG